ATAAGAGATTATTGATTTTTCCTGCTTGTTTTAAAATATGGTAGCTCAATCCAGTTTTATTTAAAGGTATTGACATAGGGATTAGTGGGATGTTAAACAGCAGTGGTGACAAAGAATTACCCTGAAATATTCCTCTTTTGATGCTAACTTCCCCAGTTTCTTCACCATGGGCCATAAAGATAGTTTTCCATTTTTCCATGTTTTTCTTGAGGAACTTCTGAATGTTTTTACTAATCCCAAACATTTTTAGGCAGGTGCTAATCCAGCTGTGTGGCAATAAGTCAAATGCCTTTTTATAGTCTACCCAGGCCATGTTAAGTTTTGTTTTTTGTCTTTTTGCATCATCATCATCATCATCACCATTACTGAATATTAGCATTTAGTCATCCATTATCAGACAAGAAAAGCACATACTATGTTCATTTGGCATCCGCTGTGACTTGGAGTTTTCTTTGTCCTGCTTCCTTTTCTTGTTCTACAGCAGATAAAATGGGCTGATTTAATATCTCATATGCCTTTCTGTTTAACTGGCCTCCCTATTTTGATTTAAAAATCAGAGGGCATTTTCATTCCTGAGAGCCAAAGTACTTTATGTATCAATCAATAAAAATATCTTTTTAGCCTATGCGAAGAATTAGATTACATGGAGGTCTAAAAATATAGAAACACATTCCAAGTTACAAATGTGTTAAACAGCATACACTGTGAGTATAAAAGCCATCATTATTTTTAAAGGCAGAGGTGGCTTCAATGTCTTAGAAAACTCATTTTATCACTTATGATACAGCAATCATGATTCTACCTGGAAAGAGAGAGCCTTGTGACTCTTATTCACTGCTCTGGTAACTTTCTAATTTGAATTACTGCAATCCATTGTTAGTGAAGCTGCCTTTGAATGTGATCCAGAAACACCAAATGGTCCGAAGTATGTAACTAGTCAACATGATCCTGTTTCATGCCAATGATTGCTGGTCAGTTTCTGAGCCCCATTCAAAGTGCTAGATTTAAACATTAAAGCACGGGTGGCAAAATGGAGCCCTGAGGTAGAACAGAACATCAGCCAGTCAATAGTGGGTCTTTTCACAACATTGCTTGAAACTGGTGTGCTAGGCCAGTACTCAGACTGGGGTCCCCAGATGTTCTTGGACTGAAACTCCCAGAAATTCTGACCAGCACAGCAAGTGGTAAAGGCTTGTGGGAGTTGCAGTCCAAGAACATCTGGGGACCAAGTCTGAGAACCACTATGCTAGGCCACTGATATAGAAATATAGCATTTAATGGTCTATTTTCTAAAAACAAAGGACTTGTATTATCTCAGATACCTTATGAACAGTGAACGAAGTAATTATACGATCACCAGTTCTGCATTTCCCATTTCTCATTTATGCACCATCTGTCACAGTTTCCACCGAGCTAGAGGTTTGGATTTTTAAAATATCTTAGGTATATTCAAATATTTAGCAAGATGAAGCTTAAATGCCAATCACCATAAAAAGAAAGAGTCCATGTGGGGTTGGCCAAATTTTCCCAAATGAAGGCATTTCTGTCATTTATGATGCCTGGATATTGCTGTCACTGTAGCAAGACAAAACCAAACCAACTTTACTAGCAGAATCTCTTGTATATCCAGTGATCTATCCCTCTATTTTCATTAAGCTTTAGTGCCAAGAGAGCAACAGAAAAGACTGTATGTCTCAATGACAATTTCTTTAAAATAAAATAAAAAATACAGCAAATCATTATCTCAGGGCACAAAAGGGGTTTGGGAGCCCCAAAGCAGCCTTCTGTTTAACAACATAGAATTTTAAAGATCATGTTACACAAAGTAGATTACAGGCATTTCAGTACCCAAAAGAGACTTCTGATGTTTTAAGATGCAGAGACAATGAAATCCCACCACTATGTACAGCAAGGGATTTCTAGAAGATTGTTAATGCCTAGAGAGAATTCCCTCTAGATATGGAAGCAAGACCTTCCATCACAACTTCACTGTTGCAATAAAATGCCTCCCTAATATGCCTGTGGTAGGGCAACCACAAATGGCTATTAGATTTGACATATTAACTCTTGGCAAGCCTTTTATTACAGAAGCTTGAATGTTTCAATAAACAAACGGCTATATTTGTTTTCCCTCAGAAAATAGCCTTGAAAGTACTTTCAAAGTAAATCTACAAATACTGTAGGGTTAATCCAACGTTGCCCATTATATTGCTCTTTTTAGCAGCAAGGAGCACAGCTACAAAGGTAATATAACACGGAATGGAAGGTAGGATAGTTGGAAAGAGCTTGAGCACGTCTTTAGATCAGAGGACATGGGTCAGGCTGGCATGTCTGCCAATGTAAAAGACACATACGATTGGCACTTCTGCCAGTGTGAAGTATTTACATTGGCACTTCTACCAAGATGACAGAGAGACAACCTTTCAGTCTGGGGGGAAAAAAAGAATTTGATGTGTTTGAATACCTATTTCTTTTTTCTGTTCTGGGGCCTCCACCATCCACCACTGCAAAGCCTGCTTCCATCAAAAAAATTGGAGATATTAAAGGAACATTTTGTGCAAAGATGGATATGATAAAGGACAAAAATGGTAGGGACTTCACAGAAGCAGAAGATATCAAGAAGAGATGGCAAGAATACACAGAGGAATTATACCAGAAAGATCCAGGTGTCCCAGACGACCCAGATAATGTAATTGCTGACCTGGAGCCAGACATCCTGGAGAGTGAAGTCAAGTGGGCCTTAGAAAGCATGGTAAACAACAAGGCCAGTGGAGGTGATGGCATTCCAGTGGAACTATTTAAAATCTTAAAAGATGTTGCTGTTAAGGTGCTACACTCAATAAGCCAGCAAGTTTGGAAAACTCAGCAGTTGCCAGAAGATTGGAAAAGATCAGTCTACATCCCAATCCCAAAGAAAGGCAGTGCCAAAGAATGCTCTAACTACCGTACAATTTCACTCATTTCACACGCTAGCAAGGATATGCTCAAAATCCTCCAAGGTAAGCTTCAGCAGTATGTGAACCAAGAGCAGCCAGAAGTACAAGCTGGATTTCAAAGGGGCAGAGGAACTAGAGAACAAATTGCTAACATGCGCTGGATTATGGAGAAAGCCAGAGAGTTCCAGAAAAATATCTACTTCTGCTTCATTGACTATGCAAAAGCCTTTGACTGTGTCAACCACAACAAACTATGGCAAGTTCTTAAAGAACTGGGAATGCCTGACCACTTTATCTGTCTCCTGAGAAATCTATATGTGGGACAGGAAGCAACAGTTAGAACTGGATATGGAACAACTGATTGGTTCAAAATTGGGAAAGGATTACAACAAGGCTGTATATTGTCCCCCGGCTTATTTAACTTATATGCAGAATACATCATGCGAAAGGCAGGACTGGATGAATCCCAAGCCGGAATTAAGATTGCTGGAAGAAATATCAACAACCTCCAATATGCAGATGATACCACTCTGATGGCAGAAAGTGAGGAGGAATTAAAGAACCTTGTAATGAGGGTAAAAGAGGAGAGATCCAAAAATGGTCTGAAGCTCAACGTCAAAAAAAACACACTAAGATCATGGCCACTGGTCCCGTCACCTCCTGGCAAATAGAAGGGGAAGATATGGAGGCAGTGACAGATTTTAATTTCTTGGGCTCCATGATCACTGCAGATGGTGACAGCAGCCATGAAATTAAAAGACATCTGCTTCTTGGGAGGAAAGCAGTGACAAACCTAGACAGTATCTTAAAAAGCATTGACATCACCTTGCCGACAAAGGTCCACATAGTCAAAGCTATGGTTTTTTCAGTAGCGATGTATGGAAGTGAGAGCTGGACCATAAAGAAGGCTGACTGCCGAAGAATTGATGCCTTTGAATTGTGATGCTGGAGGAGACTCTTGAGAGTCCCCTGGACTGCAGAGAGAATAAACTTATCCATTCGGAAGGAAATCAACCCTGAGTGCTCACCGGAAGTACAGATGCTGAAGCTGAGGCTCCAATACTTTGGCCATCTCATGAGAAGAGAAGACTCCCTGGAAAAGACCCTGATGTTGGGAAAGAGTGAAGGCAAGAGGAAAAGGGTACGTCAGAGGACAAGATGGTAGGAGGTGTTTGTGTAAATGTAATTGGAGGACTGTATTCCACTTTAAGAAGAAAAGGTGAAAAATGATGCAGTATAGGTTATGAGAACTTTATCTGAAGTAAAAAGAACTGGATAATCGGAAGTAAGCTTGGGCAGTGAATTCCAAAGGCAGTCAGAACGTGTCCATTTGTCTGGAGTAGCAACAATAGTTATGATGTAGTGATGTGATCTTCATTATCACTATTATTGTCATCCACAGGAACTAAACAAAATCAGTATGTTATGTTTGTTACTGTGTCAGCTCAAAAGATATAGAATAGAAAAACATTAAATATACTGTGAGAGGGCAACAAGTAGAACTAAACGTCAACAGACAGAGTGTAACATCTTTAGACTAGCACAAACATCTATAAACATGTCTAATATTTAAAGAACAGTTCTAAATTTCCTATATTGTAACACAGATAATCAGATTTCTTAATCTTATTTTTTGACCCAATGTAGCTCATCAAATATGAAGCATTTCTGCACAACACCCTAATTTGTTTGGGTTTTTGTCCTACTCCATCCCTTTTCCATTCCTACTCCTATATAAACATCAGTGCAACACAACATAAAATCCAGTTTATACAGGACTACTCTGAGAAGAGAAAGATTAGATTGCCTAATCACACCAAATCATAGTGCAAAAAAAAAAACGGCGACAATGTTCAGTACATTTCAGAAGGTAGAGAATTAGAGAATTGCAGGGGAGCAGAGGAATATCCATGCTGATGCTATTAATGTTTCAGAAGTGAACTTCCATAGTACAAACCCATAATTACATTCATCATTTATTTAGATATTGAATTACATGTACATTAATAGCAGAGTGTTTCTTCACCATGATGAGGAAATGCATCATAATGTCTCCTGGGGTGTTGCTGCAATATATCATTATGTCAGCATTTTCTATTATTGATGGGTTCTGCAACTTCATCCAGAAGCATCAGGGAAAGATGTGAAGGAATGTGTCCATCACATCTCCAGGCACTGTGACAAGAGACAAATGATTTATTTTCAAGAAAGAAATCTGTCCTTTAATTTAAAACTAGAGCTGGGAAAAGTTACTTTGCAAGGCTGCTTCCACTGGTAGAATGCTGTACAATGGGGAATCACATCCATTCCAGATTTGTTTTGCTTAAAGAAAAGACTCTATACTGATGCTCTTAGTATTTTTCAAATTACATTTCCCTTATCGCACTGCGTCCAGTGCCCTTGCTCATGATTTTCAGATCTTTTTTGTTTCTCCTGAAAACATGATTTATTTTTAGTATTGGTTTGTATCATGGCAAATTTTAGAGCTTCCCACACCTGCTGTAGAAGGATTCTGTCAGAAGTTTAGTACCAAAAAAAATAGAAAAGCAACAGCAAGAGAACTAGATTTCTTAAGAGTTCTCAAATATTTCTTAAAGACAAGTGCTTTCTCAAAGAAAAATGAAGTGGGCTTTTAAAGAGAGTTTTGGATGCAAATCCCGGTAAGCCCCATATTTGTCCAAGTGGCAGAAAACAGAAGCACAAATGCTGTATACAAGAGAGGCCTTAGATTGCAGTTCTTTACTTTAATCAAGCAGTAAGCCTCACTGCATTCATCGGGAGTTACTTAGACATGTCTATGCTCACAGTTTCAGGCACCCAAAAACAGAATTACATTTTGCTTTGCTTTCTTTTGCTTTGCTGTAGAGATGAGCACAAGCCACTGGTTCAGTGGTTTATGTCAATTCAGCGCACAGCCAGAGAGGTGTTCTGCAGTTTTGTGCTTTGCCCTATTCTGTGGGCACCCACTCAGAAGCAGTGTCTCAGCTTCTGTGCTCAGCCTCCTCCGGGCACTGCCTTGAGTGGGCACCCACTGGAGGGGGCAGGGGGCTGAACCATGGAGCATCTGTTTGGCCATACATCAAACTGACACAAACGACCAAACTGGCAGTTGATCATGAATGAAATTGTTGTTTTGTGCCATCAAGTCACCTCTGACTTACGGTGGCCCTATGAATGAGCAATCTCCAAAATGTCTTGTCCTCAACAGCCCGGTTCAGCTCTTGCAAACCAAAGCCTGTGGCTTCCTTTAGGGACTCAACCCATCTCACATTTGGTCTTCAACTTTTCCCAGAATTATTGTGTGTGTGTTTTCCAGAGAATCCTGCTTTCTCATGATGTGCCCAAAGTAGGGCAGCCTCATTTTCAGCATTTTGGGACCAGAAGATAGTTCAGGCTTAATTTGATCTAAGACTTGCTAGTTCATCTTTCTGGCAGTCCAGGGTATCCGCAAAGCTTTCCTCCAGTACCACATTTCAAAGGAATCATTTTCCCCCTGTCAGCTTTGTTATTTTTCCACTGCAGCCTCATGGTAAAACAGCAGTACTGCAGTGAAGGCTCTGCTCATGAGTTTAATCAGGTATGTAGCTGGCTCGAAGTTGACTCAACTTTCCATCCTTCCAAGGCCAGTAAATTGAGGACCCAGATTGCAGAGAGAGCAATGTGTAGCCTGCATAGTTAAACTGAGAGAGAGCTTAAAGCACTGATGGGGGCAAAAATACACATGGCAGCTTTCAAACCCATACATGCTGATCAGAAATACAAGAGTGTGGATGATCTTGGTCATGGTCTCCAGTAACAGTAATACAACCTTACACTTGATTATCTTTTCTAATTTGTTCGCTGCTGCCGTTACAAGTCTCAATCTCCTTCTGATTTCTTGGCTGCATTGTCCATTTGGATATGAATGAAATTACAACTTAATAAAATGAGGATTGCAAATAAACCAACCAGAGGGGTAATAGAAATATATAACCATCTAGCACATTAGAATTAATATCTCAGAATTATAAGCAATTCTTTTCTTGTACCCAAATAAATGTTTTCTTCAACGTTCCACCTTCCCACAAAAATCGAACAGCTAACCAATGCCCATAATTTAAGTTACTCCATCAGGCAAATAATGGTTTGGTTGAGCTATAAAATTATCTAGAAATATTCAGTGCTGGCATCATTTTATGCTTTTCCCACAATAAATACAGGACTAATAAAAGAAATGGAAAATCGTGTTATCTAAATTGCTAAAATGCATAGTCATTTGCCTTGTAAATTTTTGGCCAGTGAACAAGCTGCAGGTTTAATTAGAACTGAATTAAGTACTACAGTTTTAATCAAGTTGAATATCCCAGAATAATAGAGTTCTGGGAAATAGGACTTATACTCTATGGAATATACTCTGTAGCTGCCTAGCCTAAATCAATATTCTCTTCTATTAAACACTGGGACTCTAAATTTGAGGAGAACCTATTGGCGGGGAAGCAATTGGGATAATGCCATTCCTGCCCCTCTCCCAGTATGCATGGAGCCTCTGCACTATTTGATCTATGCCAAGGAAGAACAAAAATCATGGCTAGGTAATACTTCTATTGAATTTCCAAAATGTTGCAAATGTGATGAGCTTTCAAGTTCAGACTTAGAAGTTCCAAATTTAGAGAACTGAAGAAATAACAAAAAGTCCAAAAATGTGGTTGGATGTGGTTGCCTTATCTCTGAAGGCAGTCTGATTTGCCAAAAAAAAAACCAAAACATGCCACGTGTTATGCCCAGCAACAAGGACTTGTGCTATGGAATTCTGCAATCAATTGACTGTCTCCAGCATGACCAATTGTGCAATGTGCGGGCAGAAGCCCTTGGGGACAGTACTTCCACCTTGAGTTTCATGTACATTGTAGAGTAACAGGGTTTTAGGTCGTCTGTAACAACTTCTTCCATCCTGAACCATTCTTCACAACATTCAGAAGACTGCAATAGGCTGAGATAAAGAGAGGGTGAATATTCTGTATCTTCTACAGATATTTCAAAAGACAGAATGTTTATTACTGTGCCAGTTCAAAGATAATGAGTGGGGGGGAAAATTAAACTTGTGGGGGGGGGGAGAGAGAAAACAAGCAGATTTCAGTAGACAGACTGTAACATCTTTAGACTACGAGAATCCTGATTCTCATATATTGTAATACAGATAAGCCAAGTTTCTTATCTTATTCTTTGAGCCAGTGTAGCTCCTTATATTGGAAGCATTTTTGTACAACATCCTGAAGTGTTTATAATTCATGCATGTACTTTTTATAAGTCAGTTCCACTTCACAGGCTCAATTGCCAGCACTTATTGCGACAATAAAGACAAGCTTATAGTTCATGCAACAGGAGAGTGTATTTCATCAGCACAGCAGCTCAGTTTTCAAGATGCTTAAGTTAATGTTGACATTATGAGTTACGCATTCAGCACCATCAATTGATAACGTGCGTCCATATTGGTGCCTTTACCAAGTTGTGGCTATTCCATTTTGTGAACAATGTGTCACAAACATATAAGGAGTGAAAACCAAAGCCACAAGCTAGGGCTTTGGACTGCTGTTATCTACTGATAGCGGCCAAAATCCTCTTGCTTAAGTTGTGCTAGCATAAAACTATTGTCTCACGTTACCAATAGTTATTTCACCAGAGTACCATTGAATCAATTAAGATTTAGTGAGTCACCTCCTCTATAAATGTTATTGATTCTAATGTGCCTACTCCAGCTGCAACTTTATGTGCACACACACACACACACCACTAGAAGTGGAGAGAGCTCGTGGGCACATGGTCTCGGATCACTGTGCGGTTTCAGGCTAGGAAATGAATGGATTACCTTTTTGTTGCACCAAACAACAAGAAGCAGTGCAATGGTGGTCCTGGGGGGAAGACTATCTCTGTCTGGTGGCAAGTTTTTTACAAGCAGTAGCAGCAGCACAGATCCTGGAAAAAAAAAATCTTAATGTGTCATCTGTATTGTAGGTGACACCATGGGGGATATGAGACATCATGCAGCTGCAGACATTGAATGGATTTTGCAATTTGCTCAGCCACCCCCAAATTTTTTCTTCTGGCCCAGGGCTGCCCTATTATGTTGTCCTGGGTCCAGTTTTTTAAGATTCCCTTTCCACTTCCACATTCAGTGGGTCCAAAATAATGTACTCAATGACATCATAAGGAAACACTTCTAAAGCATCACATAAGCCTCCCCACGTTATCAGGTTTTAGCCTGAAATCTCAGGGAACAGGGTGCTCCTGACATGGCAGCACTGCTCCTATTTAAAACCCAGCCCATCTCTTCTACTAACATAGACTGGACTGCCATTCAGCACTGAAAAAATCTACTAGCCCAAGGGCTTCATGTCCTGAATGAAGCCTATGTAACCTTAGCCGTATTCAGGCATTCAAAAGGAGTTAAAGGTAAACATACAAGGAGGAGATCCTGCTACTCTACCCCCTCCATTGTTGCTTTCTATGAGCAGAGAGTGAACATCTAAGAGGAGAATCTTTGCTATGCACTGGAAGATTTCCACATGATCGAGAACACAACAGAGAGCAACAAGTGGAAACAATAAGGCCGGTGTGCTCCCCTCCTGATGTGTTTAATTTTAATCCCTTTCTGTATATGTGAATAACTCTTTTCTTCATGTTAAATACATCATGAATACCTCAGGTATGATCTGCAAGTCTTCCCCACCACTCATGTATAGAGTGGTGTGTGCTAGAGATGTGTGCTTCTCTAGTTGATACAAAGCACAGCTGCCAGCACAGTCCAGTCCCGCCCCTCAGAACCAGCCCGCTCCACTTACCAGGCTCCTAGGTGAGTGCACGTCTGGCAGCAGCAACATCACTCCAATCGTGGACATAGTCCCACCAGTGCTTTCTCGCCTCTCCCCACAGCAGACCACTCCAGCAAGGAAGACAAATCTCTCTCTCAGCTGCTGAGTGGTCAGCTGAGGGAAGCGGCAGGAAAGCACCAGCAGGACTATGTCTGCAATTGGCGTGATGTCTCCACTGCCGGACACGCACACTCCCAGGAGCCTGTGGACCAGGCTGGTTCTGAGGGGGGCAGAGCAGGATTGGACTGTGGTGGCAGTTGTGCTGATGCGCTTCATATTCATATTCCCACATATCTAATAGCAACTTGTCATTTTAGGATAAGAGAACTCCCAGGTAATTCTTCCTGGAGACTCTGGGTCCACTCTCCCATTTGGTCAGATGGTTGACCTCTTTTTGTCCCCGTTTGCCAGCACCACTGATGTAACATGGAGAATGTATATTCACTGCATTTAACCCATTCTCACTCCAGTCATTAGAAATGCATACCTCAGTAATCAGACTTGCCTGAGCTTGTGAAAAGTTCTATTGATACCAGTAGAGTGTATGCACCATGCTCAAAATTATATAGTCATATAAGACAAAAATAAGTAATTAGTCCCTCAGAATCCCTCCTGAGTACAATATTTTCCAAAGTGTTTTGCCTCACAAAGCAGCATTTGAAACTAGACTACGTGCCTGGCTCTGTGTGCCATGTGTCCAAGTTACAGTTGCTGTGGCAACTGTGACATGAAATTCTGTAACATGTATGAATACGAGATCTCAACATTGCTCCTGCTGTTGTCAGTGAAGGTTGGGAGGAAGGGTTGTTGTTTTGCTCATTCCCTTACTGTGATTTTAAAAGTAAAAAAAAATTAGAAGTTAAAAGGGAATAATTTCTAAACAAGAGTCTTTAAAAAGCATATTTTTATTTTTGTTAATTTTGAAATACTAATGTTTATGTACATTTCTTGAATTAATAGGAAATTAATTTTGGTCTTTCTTTAACATTAAGCAGCTAACATGAAAATTGTTTAGGGGACCATGTATTATAAGATCTTCCATGTGCCATATGAGAAAAAGCTAACTGGCAACATAAAAGCCACCAACTTCAGGATCATGTTATTTAGAAACTGATATAAATAGCTCTGTCATGTCTGCAATGTATCACTTGCTCATAATTTTTCTTCCCCCCCCCTCAAAAAAAAAAATCCTCAGTCCGAAAAAGTGGTCATGGTACACACAGCTAGGTACTGATTTAATATGTAAAACACCAGATTTCTCTTTTCTTTGATGTATCATTTGCAGTCCCTGTAATCTTCCATTTTATTTGTGTGTCTCATCTACCCTGTAGAACGCCATTTTTATACAATGAAATGCCATTATGATGGATCACAATGTGAGGTCTCAGTTTGGTGTTAAATTGAGAATGTTTTAACGGGATTCCTTCCAGGGTTGAATGTGACTAATAAATATTGCAGAATGATATGCAAACGGCCTGGAACTGTAATTTAAGGGTGTCAAGGGCTCATACCTCTTACTACTGATCCAGTGGATGAAAAATGAAAGAAAGATATAATGCTCAAGAGCTCTGAGCTGGTATGAATAGTACAAGGTGTGGGGTCACGGAGTTTTGTTAATCTTATACTTAGGAAACAGTCTTTGAACTTCCCCTTGCTTATCCACACATCCTGTTTGCTCCTGTTAAAGAGGTGGTTCAACTGCCCGTTGATTCAGATTAATTTAAGAGGTCTATATGACTCTACTGGAGACTTAAATCAATCCCTTCTGCTTCCCTTCTACATCAATATTATTTTCTTTTACTTGGGAACTTTTTTTTGGTAGCAAGATTCTTGCCTGATGTGACAGCCCTTCGTGTTTCTTTCTTCCAAACAAGCCAAGTTCCAATGAGGTGTGCACAATCTGAACCACCATGATAACAATAGTGATTTAATTTATGGAATGTGGAGGGCATGAGGTGGAAGGAGGAGGAGACATGGGGCAGGATGTCTTACAGTGTGGAGATTCTAATCAGAAGAATACAGATTACATTCAAGGAAAAATTAAAACAAGTATGGAAGTTTGGAGTGAGTGATTCCAGATCTGTGCGGGAAAGGGGCCACTCTTCTGACTAGGCTCAATCCAAGTCACATGCCTTATGTGGATGAGCACTTTCTCAAATTCCTCAACAATAAAGTAGAAGAAAAGGCAATGATACAGAGTACCAATGTATCTTCAAGCTAAAAGTTGGTAGAGATTTTTAATGTTGGTGTATCATCCCTGCAACAAATGAGAAAATCTAGTTTATGGAGTGTCTGGGATACAAAGGGACATTGCATTCTTAAGACTTTGTGGGCTGGTATAACTGTTCCACAAATCAGGCTGTTCAAGTGACATTTAAAGAATTTTTTAAAGTGTGTAATTCTGTCACTGTTACCTGCCAACCTTATCTGTACAGGAAAAAAAATCTGTATGTTGCCATACACATCCTTTCTTAGGTGTGGGATTTGTAATCTGTTCTTTTATTTCTGAAGCACACAAAGCAGTCATGTTTTCTGTAGGAGTGACAGCTTAATATAGGGGCATACAGCTATAGATATCTAAAGGAATGACTTTACTACTGGGGTTGTGTGGAAGCCCTCTCCCATCTGTTACAGAATAAAAGTTACATTTATGGGGGCCAACCAAACCTGTACCCTTTAGGAGGAACTGAGTTTCCAAACTTTTTTAAACGGGAGAATAAAAATAGTGATCATCTGAGGCAAGGTATGAGACACCCTGATTATGTGGCTTACCCACTCAATGTCCTCTGTGGCATTTCTCCACACATGCCTAAGCTCCACCTACACCTATTTACAATGTATTATTCATACCTAATGAATAACACAGATGCGAAGTCAGAGATGGTCCAGTCTTGTAGACTTGAGGGTCAAGTTACAGCAGAAACACCTTGGGACCCCAAATGGTCTTAAACTAAAACTTCCAGAAGCCATCGCCACTAGCTGTGCTGGCCAGGACTTCTGAGTGTTATAGTGGGAACCCAATATTGGGAACTATTGATCTAGTTTATTGTGCATACAGCAGCCTTTCTCATCCTAGAGCCAATGGGCATGCAAGCTTGGAACAATGAGTGCTCATAGCCCAACACCAGTTTATGGAAGACTGGTCTGCAATGACTGGAAGAGGTTCTAGTGACATTTTTCCAACTCTAAACATGATACCAAGCCTGAAAGTGTGACCTTTATCATAAAAAACATGTGTTGTAGCACTAAGCTATGCTCCCTGCAGCCAAAATCTATAAAGGGAAGTGCTGCGGTGAGAACCTCAAATTACCACCAATGGTATTGTGCCAGTACTTGTTATTTTACCAGCAAGTGGAGTTGCCCATTCTCAGATTTGTTTCCTTAGGAGCACATACACTGCTGATGAATCAGAAAAATGCCAATGTTATTCTCTTACCACTGAGGGTGTGATCACATGGTTATATAGCACACATTTTAGACCATTTGTGGCAGTGCAGTGTGAGCTGTTTCCCAGCAATCTCACAGAGTGTGGGGAATAACACTCCACCCTAGCCCTGTTGTGTGACCAAGCTGGATCTTTTTGGTCCAAGGCAAGGGCTACTACATTTGGGAGCCAGGCTGGACTAATTACATGATGGATGGAAGGGTCTTGTTAAAGGAGCTTGCTCCCAGCAAAGCAACCTCTTTCTGTGTGGGTGCATTAGAAATGAGTATGAATTAAAAATGAATCACCATTCAAAAATAGCCAATTAATCAATTCATATTTATATGAATCAATGCCTCCAACTAATACAAATCAATGAATTTTTAGTGATTTTTTTAATTTGTTGATTCATTTGACTATGAAACAGCCCCCAAGGTATCTAGCAACACCAAAATTGCAGGGAAGGTTCCTTTGACTCCTCTACAATCCCTTCAAGTTTGACTTTCAGATATCCAAATTATACACTTATAAATTGGGGTCCCCCCCAGGAAAGTGCCCTTTAGCAACCCAATCTTCACTAAACCTGCTGGGCTTGTAGAGGAGAGTCATGGGAAGTTTCTCTGTGATTTTGGTGTCTCTAGGTGCCTGGGGAAAACTTTCCTTGGGGGAGGCCTCCTTGTGGGTGTATAACTCGGACATCTGAAACTCAAATTTCAGCAAACGTGCAAGGCTTGTAGAGGAGAGTCAGGGGAAGTCTCCCTGGGAACTTGGATTCTCTGGGTGCTTGAGGGGCCATTTAATAGGGTGTAAAAGTAAAAAAATGAATTGATTCATTGATTGTCAGGGGGAAAATAATAAATTCATAATTTGTGATTTGTCAATCTTGATGAATCACATATCAACATGCATCACCATTTTTAAATTCATGCCCATCTCTAGTGTGCATGTGTGTGTACCCACTGGATAAAATTAAGTAACCAAGTTCTCTTTTTTTTTTACACATCCTGCCAGTCTACTAATTAAAGCAAAATTCAAAGCCCCACCCCAATTTGTAACTGCTCTGAATGTAAGGAGTTTCTTTGTGCTCTGTAAACTGGTGATTCTTGCCTGTAGGTGTCAAGTGCAGCAAAAAGTGTGAGGATCCTGCAGAGCTTTGAAAAGTTATTTTTGTGGATTGCAGCTCCCGGAATTCACTAGCCAGGATGTTGCCTGTGGGAATCTGGGAATTATAATCACAAAAGGTAGCTTGCAAACGTATGCTGATCCTGCTATATATGTAGATAGAATCTCAGAGACAAGCACAAGCCCAATAGTGGCATACTGGTGTGGGCCACCTCTTGCACAGTGTGGCTACTTCAGCACCAGGTTCCAAGAACTGCTTCTGCAACAAATAAGCACATAACTCAGAGTGGAACCTGTAACAAAATGTTGTAGTGTGGGATACGCTGTCCTAGTCATTCAGCCAAGCAATCCGCCAGAATATGCAATTCTTCTGGTCCTCGTGGCTTTCCCAACTGTCCTTTTACATTCTGTCCCCCCTGACCATGCTCAGTCTTCCAAGGCATGTCTCCAAATATCGGTTTGTACTTCTGCAAACCCTTAGGGAGTCCCCCAGGTCTGCATAGGTGATGACATACATTTCTACTGTATAAGCAACGACACCCGGCAATCTCAGAAATAGAGGGGATGATCATTTGACAGACATCTGTTGGTTAAAAAGAACAATCAAACTTTCATATCTTTGCAAAGATTGGGTGCCTTCAAGTGAGAAGCTGTTGATCCGATAAAATCCACTTACCTGCCTAGGCTGACATGCTGCCAACATTTGAAGCAATGGTCTCTTGATGCTATTGGCAATGGCTCCCCCTTGTGACTACTTCGTCAAAGGACAAGCAATTGAGCACAGCAGCTGCCTTGCTAAGGGACTAAGAAATCTAATGTGGATGAAAAGATTTGGTTCAACAGTTGTTTTGAGGATAGTTATTTATTCATTTGACTTATACATCACTCTGTTAGTACAAAGCCCTACTCTTGGCTAGAGAATCTCTTTATCTGTCCTTATTGTTCGTAACAGATATGCTGGTAATGAGATTCTATATCAAAATAGCATCACACTGATTTTGGTCTGAGGTTTCCAAGTATGCCTTAAACATTTAAACAACCATTTTAAGCACAACAGATTTAATAAGAAAATAGAACTGGAAAATATTGAGAAACAAGAGTTGGGGAAACAAGAGCTGAATTTGGAACTAC